CTTTATGACGGTTAATTATTAGTCGGCAAGTGTTTGCACAGCCCTTTCAAGACGCAAGTCTTGGATAAACAGCACGTGGGCACTGTCAAATGGGCGTCCATTGGACCCTTGGCGGTTCCGAGGGTGGGTGCTGGGTCCAGGAGAAAGGACAACTTGGCAAGCCAAGGGGATCCTGGTGTTGCTCTGGCTTCCTTTTACGTGTATCCTACTCTTCATAAGGCACATGTGTCTCTTGACCAATAACCTTATTTCATTCACACTCTCGCCGAGTGCAGAGCTGGGCACCCTCTTTGTCCCCTCTGTGTTGGTTTGATAGGGGTCACAGTTTTCAGCGAACACGAAGGGTGAGGCAAGAGCAGGGGGGCAAGAAGCGCGACCCTGTKCTCCACTCTGCCCCTCCTCACCTACCTCTGCCACCTCTTGGCTCTGCTGCTGCCGCTGGCAGGACTGGGATCAAAACCATCCTCCTCGTGCTGGATGATCCCACAGGATAACCCAGGGAAGGACGGAGGAGACGGATGACTCTTTTGGTTGTTCTTTGAGGCTAAGTGCTGTCCGACTGACAGACAATCTCATCTCTCCCATAACAGGGGCTCCCCACAGCAGGAACTCCCTGCAATGCCCACCGCAAGCGCCGGGGGGCGAGGGAGGGGTCCGAGCCCCGACGAGCTCAGCGCACGTGAGGCGCGGCCCGTCCTGTCCCTCCGCGTCCCCTCCTCCGTCCGGCCCACACGCACACCCAGCCCTCCTCCCCCTCTTCCTCCTCCTCCTCCCACTTCCTCCGCACTGGGCGGGCGCGCGGCAGCTCGCCGTGCCCGCCACCGACCCCCCAGCTGCGGCCCCCTAAGATGCTCCGCGGGCAGGGACGCGCCGTCGGCGGGGACAGCGCCGCAGCACCGCGGGTGAGCGGGGACGGCACCGCGGGGGACGCGGGGCTGCTCGGCCGCCGCGCCGCGGGAGCTCCGAGGGGGCGGGCGCAGGCGGCCGCCACGGGGACACCAAGTCGCGACGGTGCCAAGGCCGTTTGGGGAGCAGTGGGACCCCTCCAAACTCCTCCGTTGGCCGCTTTTACCGGCCTCCCGCCGCTCATCTGCTTCCCGTCGGGCGCGGGSCCGCGGCCGCTTCCCCATTTAAGGGCAGTTGAGCGGCTGTGCGCGGCGCGGAGCGCGCCGYGTCCCGCGTGGAGCCCGCCGTGTCCCGCCCCGGCTCGGGCGCAGCCCACGGCGGCTCTTTGCGGGGGGCGGGCAGAGCCGAGGAAATTCCACAGCCCGCGCTGGCACGCACGACGGGCAGCAGCCGCGTCCGCACCGCGACGTGCTCAAACCCTCCCTGCTCCGGGGCCAGGGTTTTTTCTTTCTGTGGCTCGTCGTGGCGCGGCTCGAGGGCCATCGCGGGCACGCGGAGCCGGGCGGGCGCGCGTGCCCCGACGGGCGACAACGCGGCGCGAGGCGGCGGAGCGCGCCCGAGCTCGCCCGCAGCCTTGGCACCCCGGCCCCCGCGCCCTCCCCAGGCCCCGCACGCCCGGAKGGGGTGCCCTCCAAACATCCCAAACGCCCTCGATAACGGCGGCTGCGGCCCGCAGGCGCTTATCGCCGCGGGAGAGCCCGTGTTGCACGTGCTGCATGCGTTTGTTTGGTTTTGCTTGTTTTTTTTGCAGCTCTAGTCTCCCGTGCTTTCCGCCCTCTCCCTCCCCTCTGCCTTGTGTTTGCTTCTGGGAAAGAAAAACGGCAAGGAAGTTTAAGGTTAAAAAAAAGAAAAAAGGATAAATCAATTGTGTTGCATCCGCCCCCGGCTTTCCCCAGGCCGGTATTTTGCAGTGGGGTTTCGGTCTCGGAGAACACTGAGAATGCTGCACGTGKGTTTGCTCAGGCAATCCCCCAAAGCCTGCTTCCTGCGCAGGCCGGCCGGGTGCTTGCATTTTGGGCAGGATCCCGGTCCTATCCAGGCCTGGAGCCCTGCCTGGGCACCTCACGCCGTGTCCCGGGGGCTTCAGGCAGCAAGCAGTCCCATTGGGAGAGCTCAGGGATGAAAGCCAAGGCAGAGGCGTTTTCCTCGGTCTCAGATGGCAACGGGGCTAGCTCCTTCCTTACRTGTGTACCCCAGTGACTTTAATGGTGGCTGGGTGTCCCCCGCTGCCTGTCTGAGCGTCCCCACGCGCTGTCTCAAGATATGCTGGGCAGCCCCAGCGAGAGGAGATGTGCAAAGTGCCGCTGTATTTCACAGCAAGAGGCAGCTGGATGGGAGAGAGAGAACTCATTAGTGCCATCACCGAGGGCAAGGCTAATGAGCTCAGCCCGTATCAGACATCAGAGAAACCACGTKCAGAGGGTGGACGGAGGGCGCCTGAATCAGCTCTGAGCTGCTGCTGCTGCTTTGCTCTGGGACCCCTGATAAAGGCTGGGGGGCAGAGATGGGGGTCCCCAAAGCAGATTGCAATGGCCTGCGGATATACCCACATGGAGATGTTCATACTTGTGCCCGTGCTGGCCCTGTCCCCGGGTCCTCCATGGGCAAAAAAGCCCTGTGCCTCCTAGACTGCAATGTCAGGGATATGGCTTTGAGGYCTGCTTATCCTGGAGCCTTTTACAATGGCAAAGTTAAAAACTGATAGTGCAGGAGCTGCTGGCAACCGCCAACTTTCCAGTGCTGACTGCAACAGTCTTTACGTCGCTGCACAATCGAGTGGAAAAGTTCTGATAAAGCAATTGAAAACACACACCAAAAGCCACGTGCGTGAGGAGCTGGGGGACAGTGCTCCCTGCTTGCTTTGCAGTGGCACAAACATGGGCGCTTGGCATGGTGTGCACCGTGCCAGGCTTTTTCTCTGTGTGCGTGTTGAACTGGCTCTGTGCACTGGGAGTGTTTAAAGGTGCCAAAAGGGGCTGCGATCCTTCCTTCCTTCCTTCCTTCCTTCCTTCCTTCCTTCCTTCCTTCCTTCCTTCCTTCCTTCCTTCCTTCCTTCCTTCCTTCCTTCCTTCCTTCCNTCCTTCCTTCCTTCCTTCCTTCCTTCCTTCCTCCCTCCCTCCCTCCCTCCCTCCCTCTCTCCCTCTCTCTTTTCTCCCACCCTTTCTTCCCTCCTTGCCTCCCTCTCTCTTTTCTCCCACCCTTTCTTCCCTCCTTGCCTCCCTCCTTCCCCGCCTCCTTCCTTCCTTCCCTGCTAAAAAGAAAGGGTGCTCAGAAGGAGAGGGAGCTCTGCTTTCTCTGATGTTCTTTAGGTCCCACTGGCAGGAGCATGTGGAAGCGGAGGAAGGGAGCCATCCCCCGGCGTGTGCGTGCGGAACGGATGGGTGGCACAGGCGGACGTGGCTGTGCTGGGAAGTCGTGGCGACGCTGGCACCCGGTGATACGAATGTGGAGCGATTGCGCCCGCGCTGCGCATGGGGACAGCGGCGCAACTCGGTCCCCTTACGTAGCTTCAGTAATGCCACATCTCCTTTACTGTGGGTTTTGGGAAAAGGGGGGAAAAAAAAAAAGCATGGAAAGGTGTGACCACCTTCCATGTCCATCCACTATATCCATCCCAAACTTCCACTATATCCATCCCAAAGGGAATTCCCGGGGCCATGTGGCCCCGGGAATTCCCTTTGGGATGGATATAGTGGTGATACTTGCTAGGCTGCCAGGTATAAAGCCCTGGCCAGAAGGAGACTCTCAGAAAGCGTGAGGCCTCCCCAGGAGCTGGTGGAGCCTGTTTCCTCGGGGAGCTTATTCCAAGGGGTATAAAAGGGGAAGTGGGTTTCTTTCTTGGCAACAAGAAGGAAATCACGCAGGAGTTTTTCTTCCTGCAGCCTCAGCCATGCCAACAAATTTGAGAAGCTATCCAAAGGGCCATCCGAGGTGTTTAGCCTGCCTCARTCATGCTGGAACCACTGTTCCTTGCCTGTGTCCCATGTCCACGCTCTCCCTTGGAGCCACGTGCCGCAGGGACCAGTGTTCCCCTCTGCTAAATCTGCCCTGGGCTGGGGCTGTTGCAGGGAAACCACCTTTTCCATTGCCTGCAGAGGAAGCCTTCTCCAAGATGCCTCTTTTTCCAAGCTGGCTGGGCGGTGTTGCAGTCTCTATCCCCGCTGCACAGCTGTGTCCCCACGTTCAGTCCATTTATCTGCCCTAGCAGAGCTGCCGAGATAGTTACTGTGCTTCCCCGGCTGCAGCCAGAGGCGGCTCTTATCTCATCACCAGGCGCTCTTGCTCTGTTTCCCTCTTTGCTTCTTCCCTTACTCTTGCCACAGAGTGGAGAAAAAAAAGAAAGGGGMGATGGGACAGAGCAGACAGCAGATCCCATGGGATGGGCGACGTTGTGGCGAGCCCTTTGGTGGGCTCGGGTGATGCTCGAAGGATGCCTGGGCAGGGATGCGGGCAGGGTGTGGGTGATGCCGGAGCGATGCTGGAGCAACGKGTCCTGCGCAGCTGTGGGCTGGCAGCTCCACCTGCCGGCAGGCAGCGTTCCGAAGGGAGAGCAGAGCCCGCGGGCACGGAGCTCAGTGCTGAGGAGGAGCGAGGTGTGGGCAGTGAGCATCACGAGACAGTCCCTGGTGGGACATGATCCCTCTCTGCATGGAGAAAGAGCCCCAAGTTACCGTGGAAGGTTCACGTGGGTTGGGGATGTTTTGGCACTGCTGGACCAGCTCAGATGTTGGGCTTTGCTGTAGGTGTCTTCTGCCACCTCCTCACCTCAGGCTCCCCTGGCTTTGCTTGCTGGAACAGCCATGCCAGGGAGGCTTTGGGCCAGCCTGCCAGGAGCTTTCCAGTGTGACCATGTTGCCGCTGGAGGGAAGCTGAGCTGGCGAGCCAAGCCCTCTTGGGCACTAGGAGCTGGAGAAATGCGGCTTCCCTGCTGCTTTTTTTAAGGTGAACGCAAATGCTGGRGTCTCTGCATGTGCTAAGGGAACAGGAGAAGGGTTGTGGGTGCTCCCACCAAGTAACCAATATGTCTCTGCTTTCCTCTTCCTTCTCCAGGCCACCCAGATAACCTCTTCCATCTCCCAGCCCGGGGGAGACGCTGGCAGCAAGCTCTAGATGGCTGGGAAACGGCACCTGGAGTCGCTGGACCCTGTCCTTTTCACCAAACTACCTCGTCTGGAGCCTGAGCCGGGGCTCTGCAAAGCGTCCCTTGTCCCCGACAACCCTTGTGGCTACAAGGGCTCCTACTTCACTTGCCCGCTGGCTGGCCGCGATGTCCCTGAGCCGCTGGTGCGCTGGAGCCCGGCGGCCGCCTACGTGCCCTGCGCCGCGGGGCAGCTGCCGCGCACTGCCTGCCTGCGGCACCAGCGCGAGGCGGAGAGCCCCGGTGCCCGCCTGCGAGCCYCGGCTGCCGACAAGGGCCGGGAGGGCCTGATGCAGGAGCTGCTCCTGGCACGGGAGAGGTGGAGCAGCCCTGCGGCTGTGAAGAGGCCGCTGGCCGTGCACAAGGCTGGCGCACCCGCRCGCTGCAGCACTCTGGCTGTCCCCAAGCCCGTCTATGGGACGCCCGTGTGCTACCTGGACCCGAGGCCGCCGCTGGCGCTGCGACCCGCTGACTGGGCTCTCCCCGCTGCCCCGCTGGCATCCTGCGGCCCTGAGGAGGGCCCGCTGGCCAAGCCCAGCCTAGTGCCACTGCCCACGGGCCTGGCGCTGCCTGCCAAGCTGGGCTCACCCGCCGCCTTGGCGTCTGCCTACTATGGTGCCCTGGAGAAGTACCCCTCACCTGGCGGCTYGCCCTTCCTCGAGGCCACCCGCCAGCCGCCCGCCAAGGGCCCCGAGGAGTCCGATGCCTGGCTGCAGCCCGGCACGCCTGCTGCCAGCCCGCTGCCCCGCCACGGCCCCGCGTACCGGGAGAAAGCGGCAGGCTGCTACGCGCCCTACGCGCTGCCCCTGCACAAGCCAGGCGCGCTGTACCCGCCGGCGGCGGCCCTGGAGCAGCGGGCAGCCACTCTCCCCTCCATGCCCGGCAGCCASCGGGACTTGGGCTTCCCGGCGGGCGATGAGCTGCCTCTGCCCGGCGCCTTCCTGCGGCTGCAAGCGCCCAGGAGCTACTCAGAGGGCTACGTGCCCCCCGGTGCCGCGGAGCCCCAGCAGCAGCTGCGTGGCCCCGGCTTTGCCTTTGGGCCCGCCGACGTGGACGCGCACACGGAGCCKCCCAGCGAAGGGCGCGGGGCCCTGGGCAAGGTGGCCAGCGCCTTCCAGCCCGTTGGCGCCCTGGACAAGGCGCCTCGCGGTGCCGAGAGACTCCCGGAGACGTTCACCGTGGCAGAGCCGGCCTATGGCTTGGAGCTGTGGTGCGCCGCACGGGAGCGGGACCTGCCGTATCTGGAGAAGAGGAGGACGGGCCTGGCGCTCCGAGAGAGCAGCCGGGGGGCTGCCGGCCTGCCGCTGGCAGCTCCGATCCCCATAGCCAGCAGCCCCGTCTGCCAGGTGGGCAAGGGAGAGGCCCCCAGGGTGAAGGAGGCAGCCAAAGAGCTGCGTGCCTCTCCTCAGCTCGCATCTCTGCAGGGCAGACAGACGGACGTGCGGGGCAGTGGCGAGGCAGCCCCCTCATCCCCACCCATGCCTGTTATCAACAAGGTCTTCAGCTTGGCCCCTTATCGAGACTACCTGGAAGGGCCCGCTGAGGACCCCTTCACCAAGGACCACGCAAAGGCAGAGAGCCTGTGCCGAAACGCGGGGAGCAGCCCGGGAAGCAGGGACTCTCCCAAGGCTCTGCCAGAGCCAGGTGTCTCTACCACATCCCATGTGCTGCCTGCTGGGAGCAGCATGGACCAGAGCTGTGTGTCCATGCCTGGTGAAGGGGGACCTTGTTCCAAAGGGAGCCACAATCCAAGGCTTCTGCCCCACAACTGCTTGGCAAAAAGTGGCGCCTCACCTCAGGATGGCAGTGCTGGGGATTCAGTGCCCGATGAGGTTGTTCTGGACCTTAGTTTGAAAAAGAGACTAGTGAGAGTAGGGCAAGCCCCGGACTCTGTTGGCCACGTGACAGGGACATCTAAAGGAGAAGATGCAGCCAGACACAAAGAGGAGGCACCCAGGAAGGTGGAGAAGGCCAAGGACACCAAGGCTCAGCCCTTGCCGCTGCTGGTAGAGGTTGGCTCTCGGGACAAGAGCAACTTCCAGAGCTCGGCCACCTTCATGTTCAAAAAATACAAGATCCTGAAGTCCCTGCCACCTGGTGCTGTGCCTCCGCGCCCAGCTGCCGGAGCGCCGGCAGCAGCTCCRTCAGGCAACGTCCCTTCTCCACCAAGTCCACGCGCGTCTTCGCAGCCCCAGGCCGAGCCCCATCCCAGCAGCTCTGTCCTGCAGGTGACCTGCCTCAACCTGCAGCTCTCCGACATTTCAAAGCCACTGCTGCCTGGCACTCCCGAAGCGCCGCGTGTGCCCGGAGAGGACAACGTCTCATTGCCCAGTCACTGCGAAGCCCCTGCCCAGCAGACCTCTGCCAGCCAGTATTTCACTGCCTTGCATGTGTCCCTCTGCAATGTTATCTCGTGTTCCGTGTCCCGGTCCTCCCCAGAGCTGCTCCAGGAGTGGCTGAGGAGGACAGAGCCCAAGGAGGAGCTCAGAGAGATGCCCAAATCTCCCCCCAAACCCAAGAACAGTCCCAGGCTTTCTGAGCCCCAGAAGCCCACCAAAGGCAAGGAGATCTGGCTGGCTTTCAAGGATGTGGCTGCTCTCCTCAGCAAGCTGCTGTCTCAGCTGGAGACCTTCATGTTCACTCGCAAGTGCCCCTTCCCCCACGTGGTTCGTGCAGGTGCCATCTTCATCCCCATCCACGTGGTGAAGGAGAAGCTCTTCCCCAAGCTCCCCGGGGCTTCTGTGGACCAAGTGCTGCAGGAGCACAAGGTGGAGTTGCGCCCAACCACCCTCTCAGAAGAGAAGCTTTTGAGGGACCTAGAGCTCAAGAGCTGCACTTCCCGCATGCTGAAGCTCCTGGCTCTCAAGCAGCTCCCTGACATCTACCCAGATCTGCTGAACCTTCACTGGCATGACTCCATCAAGCAACAGCTTGGTAGGTAGCTCAGCTGTCCCCATGTGGAGCTAATGATCAGAGACGCCCAAAATAGCACCGATAGTCCAGGCAAGGGATTAGTAATGAAATAAATCTGATGCTTTGTTCACCAGTGGTGAAGCACTTTGGTGCTTCACCACTGCTTCTGAGTAGCTGGCAGAGGTGAAGCAGTTGGAGATGTGTTTCCTTCCCGAGAGGTCCCACAGCCACAGTCCCCCTCTGACTCAGTCATTGTCACAACCGAGTCTTCGTAACCCCCTTCTGCGCTTCCATTGAAAAGATTCAAACGTGCAGTTCCTGAGTTGTGCAATTTCCTCCATGTGTTGGGCAGTCCCTGCCTCCGGCCCAGACTGAAGCCTGCCGCTCCTCACTGCAGCTCTGGCCATGATGGGAGGCAAAGGAGAGCAATTTATCACAGAGCAAAGTGGGTTTTGGTGGTGGTTTTTTGTTCCTTTTATTACCAAAGTTGGCTTCCACATCGCAGGGATGCTGAAGGAAAACACCCCCAAGGCTTTAGGTCATCACCCAGGGGCTTTCCTCTGACTACCAGATGCCCTGCCAGACCTACCAGAAGGGAAAGGGCACCGAGCCCTGGTCAAGTGTCCTGGGCAGGCTCTCTGAATCCAGGAGACCTGCCAAGTCTCTGGTTGTTTCTGGAAAAGCCGCTGCCTTGGGTGGGAGTGGATCCAGGTGYGCTCGCAGATGCCTTGCTCCACGTATTCCAGGAAAAGCTCCGGGTGCATCTGCCTCCCAGATGTCGGCAGCGGGTTGCGTAACTTCTTGGCACGGGAACATTTGTGGTCTCGCGTGTTGGCAGCTGGGAAGTCCATACCAGGAATTCAAGAGCGTGGCCAGGAAATGCGTGCTGGTGTGGAGGGAGCCTGGCTGCCTCGGGAGCAGCGCAGGGCTGTGGAACTGCCCTCCTTGAGGCAGAAGTCCTAGAGCAAGGGGGGCTTGGGGAACACGCAGCGGGCTCAGGACAGCCACCAGTAACTTCATTTCTTGCAGGTTCGGGCTCGCAGGCTGACCAGCACCTCTCCAAGTAGGTAACGCTTCTTCGTGTTTGCAAAAAGACACTTACCTATGTCTGTACATGTGGTGGGAGGGAGCGCAAGCCTCAGCTTGCAGCGCTTCTGTAGGATCCAGCCGGCTTCTCACGTGGGGAACTGGGGCTGTCCTCCTTCTGCCAGCCRTAGGAGTCTCCAAGGGAGCTTTGGGGGGCTGTGTCCTGCCATCCCAGCCCCAGTCATTCCTACACACCATGGCATCACTGGAGCAGCAGCATCCTCCTTCTTGGCCGGCGTAGCGGGGCACTTGCAGCGGGGCCAGGGGGACACGTGGTGGCACAGAACTGATATCCCCAGCCTCACGCTCTCTCCTCCCTTAGGTAGGGCTGTCGTGGAGATGCTGCGAGCCCATGGCAAAGCAGTGACCGTGCGTGACACCGGAGAGAAGGCGGTGCTGGGAGCCGTGCCGCGTGCGTCCTGGGGCACAGGAGGAAGCAGCTGCCCGGCGCCTCCGGAGCGAGGTCTCCTCATGGCAGGTCCCAAACCATTTGCAGGGAGCCCGCACGAGCAGCCTCAGCAAGTGCCTGGGGGCAGCTCAGGAAGGGGCAGTGTGTCCCATCTGCTCCCCTCCGAACACGCTGGCCCTGTAAACCTCCCGCTAGCCAAGCTGGCAAGCGCTGCGGATAGCTGGCACCACACGGAAGGGCAGGGGGAACGGCCACTTCCAGCCACAGGGCTGACATTTTTTCTTTTTTTTTTTTTAATGAAGACATTTTTTAAATGTTATGGAATTGCCTTTATAAGGAGCTGCTGCCTTCAGGTAATTTTTTTTTTTAATAGTAATTTATACTTGTCTTTTTTTTTTTTTGTTTATTTAAACTTATGGCTTCACCTTTTTGCTGCACTGAACCAAGGTGGAGCAAAGAGATCCTGTTCTGCTTGAGAGGTTCAGTCCTGCATCCTACCCGAAAGAGGATTTTGTTTTTAAAATTCATTGAGAGAGGCAAACTCTCCCGTGAATTTCTTAAAGACTTACCAAGCTAACAACCCTCCAAAATGTAACAGCGTAGCCTGTTCTAAAAGAAACCTTAAGAGACGCCTGTTTGGTGGTGATCCTTGATGCTTGAYGAAGAAGCAGCAACCTGGCCATGCAGTGGCGAGGGGACCTGTCCCATCCCGCCGTGTCTCGGCCAGCTGGGAGCGAGAGTGGATGCACTTGCACTAGTCAGCCCGCTGCAGCCGTACGGACCGGAGCAGAGGCCTTACAAACTCAGCACTCAGGTGTTTCTAGCTGTTGCAGGGAGTAGAGGAACAAACCGATTTTTTTTTTCCCACTACAGGAAGTATTTATTTTAAGCTAAGAAAATGAAAAACAAACAGAAAAGCCCCCCGCCCAAACCATACCACAGACTTGTCTTAGCCAACTTTTGTATTTTCCAGCCCAGAGAGGCAGCTGCATTATTTAGTACAGGGGGCCTTTGTGATTCCCGTCGGGACGTGTGGAGCAYGCAGGTGCCTGGGAAGCCAGGGCCCTCCACACTTCCCACACTCTCTTGCCCCGTGGAGTCTTTGGRTAGCATTGTACAGCAGTTCAGAAAGCTGTGTTTGTTAATAATAGTTGTGATTTTTAACTCCTCCGGGAGAAAGTTCCTTCACTATATTTAAATGTTTTGTAAGAGTGAGTTTCGARAAGTATCTCACCTAATTAAAGTGTTTTGCTCCTCGTTTTGGAACATGTTGCTCCAGGCTCTGCTTGCCAGCGTGGCTGGGGTGGCGGAAGGACCGGGATGGGGCTCTGTCCAYCCCCCGAAACAAGTGGCATCAGTGCGGGGAACAGCCAGTGACTGCCAGGGTCAGCATCAGCCCCCCACAACGCGCTGAGGGCAGAAGTGAGGTGGGAAAAGCCCGCGCTTGGGATGACCCCTTGCTCCAGGTCTGCATCCCAAGCGATGGGTAACAATTCCCTTCCTTCCCATCGTGGCAAGGTCTTATGAGGACCAATACCATGTTTCAAAGCACAGCAGTGGTGCCTAGGGATATGGTGGTTGGGGACAAGGAAAACCCTTTGTGTGCCAAGGTTTAATGAGGAGCGCAGGGAAGTGCTCAGGCAGCTGTGATGGAAACGGCATCACCTGGAGAGGTGGGAAAGGAGCGGGTGCTAATGGAGCTCAGCTGGGACCCAGCCTTCCTAGCCAGGATGGGAAAGGAGATAAAAGCACAGGGCTGGGCTTAGGCCTTGTGCTCTTTACTCTGCCTTGGTGGTGCCAGGTAGGAGCAGCCTGGTGGGTTTTGGGTGGTGCATTTTGTGCTGCTTGTATTGCTGGGTTGCAGGAAGGGCTGTGAGGAAGCCCCCCATGCTGGGGCAGATGCTGGGAGGAGAAGGGGTGAGCAGGTGGTGGTGACATTTCTTGCTTTTCCCTGTGAGGTTCTTTGAGCAAATATGGGTGCTTCAGGTGGGGTATGGGGTAGTGTCTAAGACAGGTTTAGGGCCTCTGAAACAGGAACTTTGCAGACTCTTTGGAGATGCTAAGGCAAGAAGCTGTTTCCTGATGCAGCAGGAGCCCAGGTGCATCCTGACATGGGTACATCTTCCCTCTGACTCTCCCCACTGCAGCAGCCAGACCCTCAGTAGGGTGTTCTGGGCTGTCAGGGCCCCAGTTTGAGGGTGCCCTGAGGAGGGTGGGGGTGGACAGGCTAGCAGGCATCTCCTGGGGGGCCATCCCCACATCCCAGTATGGGGTTCTTCATAAGACTCAATCTAAGACTTTTCCTGGCACTCTCCACAGCTGAGCTCTTGCCATGGAATCCCCTAAGCAGAGCCAGGGCACAGGGCCACCGAGCCCTGTAGAAGACACTGCCCTGGGGCTGAGGATTCCTCCCTGYGGTGACAGGGAGGAGGATGTGCCTAGAGCTCTGTGTCCTGTTGCTCGTGTGGCCGCTGCAACCGGTGGGCTGAGATGCAAAGCTCTCCTGGTGCTCGCCATCTGCCTGTCTGTTGCTGCGCTCCCGTATGGCATGGACTCTCTGACTGCCCTATCCCAGACCCCTCCTGCTTCCCTGCGTCTTCCTCCTGCTCAGCCAGGCTCTAAGCCCTACTGGAGCAGGGTGAGTGACAGCTTGGTGACAGTGTCTCCAGTGACACAGCAACCAGAGACAGCTCTGGTGGGCTCTRCAGGCACCTCCCAAGGAGCTGAAGGAGACTTGTACCACAGAGTGGATGCTGAGAGATGGAACCTGGGGACATTGACAGGGGACACTGCTGTTCCCTCAACACCTCGGACCCTCCTGACACTGCAGCCTGGCACCTTGACAGCAGAATCGCAGGGGTCTGGTGTTGCAACCGTCRCTGTGATGCTCTCCAAAGCCTTGGAAAACAGCATAGAAATGCCTGCTAAGTTGTCTCCAGAACTCCACACTAGTCCAGGGGCTGCCTCGACTGCTGGTTGGTCTCATTCTGGCTCTCACCYGAGGCATGGTGCTGCTTTGGGAAGCTTTCTTGGCAAGGGACCAGGCCTGCACAGAGCCACGCAGCTGCCTGCAGTGGCCTCTGCGTGCAGACGTGAGCTCAGTTCACTTGTGGAGCCCATGAGAACAACGCCAAGCTCTTCCCCTTTCTTGAGCAGCAAGGTTGTCTCTAGCATCTCTCCAGAGCACATGTCACAGCTTCCATTCAAGATGCAGAGCCAAGGGAGGAAGTTCTGGGCCACTCTCTGGGCTCTAAGGATGCCTCACCAGAAACCTGCTATGGTGGAGAGCTCCGCAGCTGCCCTGGGCAGGCAGCCCTGGGTCCCCACTCCCTCCAGGGCCTCCTCGGGGACTGAGGAGCAGCCTGCTGTGGATGCAGGGGCTGAGCTGCTGGGAACAGTGTCAGCACAAGTGGCTGCACGTGAAGGAGCTGCTGGGAAGGCTCCAGTTCTATCCAATGTCCCACTAGGTGCAGGGTCGGCAGAGATATCAGCAGGTACTCCCRCCCTGAGCTGTGCCACAGCGGCCTGGAGCCTCAAAGGGCAGAGGCAAGCAGTGACAGCAAGCCTTGGCCAGCACACCCCCAGCCATCCGACCAGCCTGCCTGACCTTACTACGGACAAAGACCACACTGCTGCTTCTGGGCTTGCACCATTTCCAGGGGACCTTCCACCTCTGCCATCAGCAAGGACATCCAGCTTGGCCAAAGGGCGGCCTGGCACCCTGTGGGCACCCTCAACTCTGAAGCCTAAGAAGGCCAGGGGCACACAACCTGCTGATAGCTTTCTGCATGGAGAAGCTRCTCTGCTAGTGAACACCTTTCTGGTCAAGGCACTGAGAAATGGGTCCAGCCTTCTGGCTGCTGCCTCTACGTCACCTCCCAGGGACACATCAGCTGCTCGTGCTGTCAAGCACCAGCAAATGCTGACTCCCTTGCATGCTRCAGAAGAGTTAATAGGGGCTGCTGTCACTTCAGAGAAACAAGGCAATTTGTCTTCCCGCTCTACAAAGCTGACTACACCTRTATCTACTGATGATCTTCCTTCCTCTACCCTGACAAGGGGCTCCAGAGCTGCAAGTGATCCCATGGCTGCAGTGAGCTTGGCAGACTTCGACACTGTCTCGGAGCCCAGCATGTTCAAAACATCCTGCAAGGATGGAGCAGCTCTGGTGGCTCTCCCCTCTCTAAAAGCTGTAGATGTGACAGATGCCTCCTCCCTGAGCTCACCTACTGAGATGCCTTCTCTGCACCCCAAACTTTTTCCCACAGTCTCCCTTGCAACTGCTGAGACTCCAGAACAAGGCCAAGTTGCGCGTGTGGCCACAGGGGTGGCAGGGAGAAGTGTGCTGCATGGAGAGATAGCCAAGGCAAAAGGTGCTACAAGTGGAAAGCCCATAAAGACTTCAGTGGATGCAACTGTTGCTCCATCAGGACCTCCAGAGCCCACCCATGCTATTCAGAGCTCTGCACCYCTCTCTAGCTTGAAGCAYTCCACCCCATCCCATCAGCCTGAGACTGAGCAAGCAGTACAGACCAGCATCACTGTTTTCTCACCTCTGTCCTATGAATCATCTTCTACCAGACCTATGCATGGCCCTAMGTCCCTGTTAGCCTCTTGGACCATGACTGCACCAACAGGATTCATGCCTGGCACTCACTCTATGCCCACTCCCCTGGTTGCTGCCTCACAGCATCCCTTCACACCTGGAGCAGACCTCTCTATCCCTTCACAGCTGGAGCAGACCACTACCCAACCATCACTTGCAGGAGAAGGCTTCATTATAACTGCATCCCCAGCTGAGCCCATGACTACAAGCAAGCTGAGCTCCTCTGAGGCGAAGCCCATGGTGCCCCAGGCCCCTGGACTGTCCTCTCCTGCACAGCCTCTCCCTGTGCACGTGTTGCCCTTGCAGTTCAGGCTTACGGGCATTGCTTACACTAAGGCTCTGAGCAGCAAGTCTTCGGAGAGCTACAAGAAACTGGAGAAGGAAGTGATGTGGATGGTAAGTGTGGGCTGATTCCTCCAGAGCTGGCTTGCCCTATCTGTGGAGCTTTGCCCTGTCTGTGGAGGTGTCCCCTTTTGGGTGAAGGGAACTGGGAAAAGGATTGCCTTCTGAGACTTAACTTGGGCTGCCTGCAGCCCTGGATAGACTAGYTTAGTCATCCTAATCTCAGGTTTTTGCCTATCCTGTGGTAGCCATCCTATCCTACCCAAGCCAAGCTGACTTCCCTTCCCAGCTCCATCTTTATCATGCACTTCTGATATATCCCTCACTTGTTCCTGCAAGTTTTCTGGCATTTCTCAACAATGGATTTTTCTTCTAGCTAAACAAAACACTGTCCACYTATGAGAACTTCCTCCAAGCAAATRTCCTTGAGTTTATGTGAGTACACAGCTCTGCTCTGGGGAAAAAGATGGAGATGGGTGGGTTTGGGTTGGAGCGAGGGCTTTCTCCAGCAAGATAGTTGAGGGAGGGCAAACAACGCTTGTGAGGGGTTATGCTCCCTGCCCAGGAGATCCCTGGTCAAAAGTGTTCTTAGCAGAGGGTGCACGTTTGCACTAGGGTTTGTCAGCTCATGTCCTCTTTAGGAATGGCTCTGTGATCGTGCGAGGGGAGGCTCTATTCCAGGGGGACAGTCCTGTTCCCACACGCTCTCACCTCATCCGTACAATCATCACGGAAGTGAGCAGGGAGAGGAACACCTTCGGCTGGCAACTGGAGCCCCAGTCCATCCAGTCAAGTGGTAAGTCATGGAGCTCCTACTACAGCAGGACAGCTACCATTAAGTCTGCTTCCTACAGGTCCCTCAGTCCCTTCCTACAGGTCCTGAAGTCTCATCAGCTTGGACCAAAGGCTTCACTTTTACTTAATCTCTTCTCTTCTGATTCGTGCAAAACTCCTAAATACAAAGGATGCTGGAGACTACTTTTCCAGTAGTCATATCTATATGGTCCACTCTTTATGCTAAATTCACTGGCTTACCCTCCTTGATGCACTTGTGCTCAGGGAGGTAGCTGCACTTTCAAAACCCTTTTCGCAAAAGAATTAAGTATCGATTTGGACTTAGCTGACTACTGCTTTTAGATCTTGGTGTGAAGAGAACCAACTCGATGCTGCCTGGTATCTCCTAGGTAAGGGAGAGGAACAGGTAAGGACATGAGTCTCTTAAAATCTTCTAGGCTTCAGTCTAGAGAACCTGGACCCAGAGAAGTTGTCCATCTCCCTCACTGTTCTTCGACTTGGCTCTGTTGCATCTGGCGGAATGAGCAGAACGGACCCCCTGGATAGGCTTATCAGTGAGGTATGGCAGGTCTTGCTCTGCATGCTGAGATTGCGTGTCTACCCCTTGGAGTCTCCATGCTGAAYTGAGATGAGGTGGTGAGAGGGGTAGCTGCCACTGAGTGGCTCACGCAAGGAGGGACAACACCTGCCTGTTTCACTAGTGATATTTGCCTCTGGGCAAAGGGATTTTGCTCTGTCCTCTGAGGCCTCTTTAAAGTACCCATTACTGGGGAACAGGCAGTTGGCTGTGGAGACTATTGAGCAGAAGTTCTGGTGGATCTTTCAAGAGATGTTGCTGAGAACTTCATCCATTGGCAAAAGAACACAGCTTGACTATTCAGCTTTCTGTGAAGTAATGTAATGCAGAGACAGGGTATGAGCTGTTGTCTTGCCTTTCTATAGGTGATCCAGTCACTCAGTGTTCTATATGATGTGAAGAACTTCACTATTGGCCAGCTCAGGTATGGGAGATGACTACCCCTCCAGTTCTTCATTAAAGTCTCACTCATTTAACCCTGTRCTGTATAAGGCACTCGGTAGGCAATTAGTAATGCTGTGGAGGTGGGGAGGGTGAGGTTTCCTGCCCTGGGAAGACTGAGGTGGCTCTAAAGAGCTCTATATATTCTCTATAGATTCATATCATAGTTGTGGGCTCAGAAATGTGTGTGTTTGGGGGATATCCTCTCATAGACCTTATAATATGGATGAAAGAGACCACTGAATGACCACTAGATCTCACTGCAGAACATGCCCAAGTCTTAACTGAGCATTTTCCCTGGGCTGAGTACATGTGAGCTGCTGTACYGAACAGGATGGAGAGGCTCGCTGAGCCTCTAGGCCTGTTCTAGCCTTTCTGCTTTGCTCAGAGCTCTTCTCTGCTTAGAAGCCTCAGAGGGGACCTGGAGATCAGTGGAGAGCTCTATCTTGACACAGATGTCCATGCTGATATAGAAGAAGTTCTGCAAGCCCTGAAGGCTCTCGCAGCCTCCTCTGTGGACATGGTCTCCCTCTCAGTGGAGGGTAAGAACAGTCCTTCTGTGGCAGGGCTTGCAGCTGGGACAGTCACCTAGAAGTGGTATCTTTCCTCTGCAGGAGCCAAGCTTCATCTGAAGACTTACCCGATCTCCTTCATCATCATCAACAGGCACTTTAGTGAGGACCTTCTCGATCCATTTTCTGTGGAGTACCAGGAACTTGCAAGAGAGCTTGGAGATGTGGTAGGCATGGCTGGTGGATGTGTGTGTGTGTGTGGGGTGTCTTCTGAGAAAAGGAGGCTACTGGAGCTGCAAGAAAGGGACTGCTTCAAGGTTGTCTAAATCAGGTCCTTAGAACYCCAGTGCCATGGCTGAAAGGTGCTCAAAGAGCCAGATCCTGAGATCCTTGAAGCCTTTTCTTACAAAGATGAAGGACAAATGTTGTTCTAATGGCAACTAAGAACACTTAAATGCCCCCTGTGGGGTGAAGGAGCTCTACTGTGACCTGTCTATGGCAGGACACTATCCACAGGAACTCCAGGATTAGGATGCTCTTGCTCCTGAGTTTTTCAGTCCAGGCCACACAATGCAACCAAGGATCTCGAAGTGCTCTGCACCACAACAGATGRTCTCATCTGCTGTCCCAGCTGCCTGGTGGCTATAGGAGTGGTCATCTGGTGGGGTAGAAAGCTCAAAGGCTGGTGGAAAGCTAAGCCAAAAGGAAAAAAAAAATCTTTTCCAGGTGGGAAGAGCCCTGAAGGACCACAAGAGCTTCCTACAAGCAGTCATAAGAGGATTCTTGTGAGTAGGAGCACAGGGTCTGCTGGGTCAGAAGGACTTATGAAGTGGAGCTAGAGGGAAAGGGGAAGAGGATATAGATTCAGGGATGTAAATATGCATTATCCAACAAATATGCACTAAATATGCATTATCCAACAAATCCAGCTTCAGGCCTATTGCCTCAGCCCTAAGTTGATTTGCAGCAGGCAGCTGAGCCCAAATAGGCATTTAACCTCAAGCTTTTCAGCTGTCCAATGCACAAGGAATAACAACTTAGACTCCCAGAAATGCCTTTAATGTTCCCAAAAGCACATGCTAATTTAATGCTTCATAGCTGAGTGAAGGGACACTGGTTTAGGTGGGAAGTTTGGGCCACTGCYAAGTGAAAGGGAGGCTCTTCCACCTTTCTCCACAGGCCTGGCTCCTTGATCTGTCACGGAGATGTGATCTTTGAGCACCCTGCTCCAACTAGCGAGGAGGTTCTGGAGAAACTTGCTGTCTTCATTGGGCCAGACAAGGCTYTGGCAGGTTCAGGCTTCCAGGTGGACCCGTATTCCCTTGCTGTGGGAGGTAAGGGATGGAGGGGTGGGTGGGTCGTGCAGTAACATGGTRGAGCTCCTGTGCCGTGCAGCAAGGGTGTTGACTTCTGTGCCCTGTTCTAGAGGACGTGTTGGAGCCTCCTCCATCTGACTTGAGCTTTCCTGAGTATGGAGTGGTGATCATTGTCATGTGTGGCCTTGGCATCATTACCATCCCCATCATTCTGCTGGTGGTAAGAGCTATATCAGTCTATCTTGTCTGTGTGACAATGCAGCTGCTGGTCTATGGGTATCTGGGCTCAAACAGTGACCTCAAGGATGGCAGAAGGGCTGCACTGCATAACGCAGAGGCAAATAGGGTGGCTTCTGCAAAAGCTGTTCATCTCACTGTTTGAGACAGTGAGGGACCAGCAAAGCAGCCTTGGTGTTGACAGTTGTACTGCTCTCCTCCYTGCAGTGCCTCAGGAAACAGCGGTTTGGCTGGCAGGACATGGCAGCCCTCTGGGACAGGAGGGACCCAGAAGCTGGCACCCAAACCATGGAAATGGAAAACCAAGGCTTCTGGGCAGCTTCTGAAGAGGCAAGTGGCCTTCAGAAGGGGCAAGCATTGCCTTCAGTGCAGCACTGGCTATTGCTAGCAGTGTCAGTGGGTGCTGGACCTTATGGGGACTGCATCACTGTGGCCAGTTGTGACTTTGGGGCAGTGACTCCTTCCTCTCCATCTTGCAGGGGCCTGAGGATGTTCAGGAGCAGTGTCAGAAGAGCTCTGAGTGAAGCTGCCCCAGGTGGGGTCTGGAGAGGGATTTGTGTGGAGAGATGCTGCAAGTCACCCCTCAATCTGCACTGCAGCCTTGCTCCCTGAAGGCTGYGGGCTCTATATGGGACTGTCTATGTCTGAATGAACAGTTTGTATCTTTAATAAACTTTGTAAAAATAGAAGTTTTGGCTGCAGTTCTGTCCTTTGTCCCTCTTCCAGGGGGGTACATGCCCCTCTTCTGGGCAGGGGCAGGCCTTGCCAGGATATCTGCATAGAGCCCCGTTTGGGGCTAAGAGCTGTTACCAGCTGGTCTGGGTGAGTGGGGTTGGGGTAGGGAGTGATAACTTATTCCATGGCTAGCTGAACCCCAGGAGCAGAGCTACCTTGCCTGTTTCTGTGTCATAGGGTGCCTCTTGGCTTGTGGGGGGAGATAGGAGGTCCCTGTAGGCTGCCCCCAGTCTCCTTTCCCTGCAAGCTTCCTTGGAACTGAGCCCTCYCCTACTTGTGTGGTACCTCTCCTGGAATACAAGGATGAAAGGRGATGAGGTCTGGACGGGCCAGTCCTGTGCTTTAGGGGGAAAACAGGTTTTTGTTGAGCACTTCTCAAAGGCCCAGTTTCCAGAAGCCACACATGCACTAGGCCAGTGGAAGATGCTAAGCGCTTCGAGGTGAGGAGAGCTAMTTCAATCATGACTGGGCGGTAGTCATGGTGGTTGCAGGTAACATTTACAAAGGAAGTTGTAGTTGTCTACAAAAAGATGAACCTCTCCTCACRGCACGGCTCTCAGGACAAACTCTAAGATGTCCGCTGCCAGTTGCCTAATGAAGCTTGCCTGTGCAACCACCATGCTGGGCGGGTGATTACTGGGATTATGGACTAACAGSTGTTGCTTTGTTTTTAAATCTTTTAGATTTTCACGGCAAGTACCTAACCCACTAATGCTAGAGGTGGGTGCTGGGKCAAAGCTGTCACTAAAGGTCAGTTCTCGTGTGAACCAAGCGCTTCTAGAGTCCAAGGGCACACCCGCACAACGCCTCAACGGCGCGTACACAAGCGCATGCGCACAACACCCCACCGCGCACACCCTCTCTCACGCGCATGCGCACAGCACGCCAAAGCGCACAGCCGTTCACACGCGCATGCGCACGTCCGCACAACACCCCACTGCGCACAGCCGTTCACACGCGCATGCGCACGGCCGTACAACACCCCACCGCGCACACCCGCCCACACGCGCATGCGCACAACAYCCCACCGCACACMKCCGCTCACGCGCATGCGCACAACACCCCACCGCACACASCCGCTCAYGCGCATGCGCACCSCCGCACAACACCCCAGCGGGCACAGCCGCCGACGCGCATGCGCGCGCGCCCTCCCGCGGCGCGGCGGCGGCTCCCGGTGCCGGCGGCGCCATGGTGGGTGCAGCGGCGGGGGCGGCGGGACCGGGACCGGGACCGGGACTCGGACCCGGCCGGCTCTGATGGCGCCTTCTCTCCGCAGCGCTTCCGCTTCTGCGGAGACCTCGACTGCCCCGACTGGGTCCTGGCCGAGATCAGCACCCTGGCCAAGATCGTTAGTGCCCCCGCGCCGAGACCGCGGCGCCCCCGAGCCCTTGACCCGCCTCCCGAGCCCTCAGCGCCCCCCAGACCCCCTCCCCTGAGCCCTCAGCCCCTGCCCAGCCCCCCTGCACCGCCCCGCACCCCACACAGCCCCGGGGGCGGGAGGGCGGGGGGCTGTGGGGCTGTGCGTGACCGCTGTCCTTCTCGCCACCCGCGCAGTCCTCGGTGAAGCTGAAGCTCATCTGCGCCCAGGTGCTCAGGGACCTGCTGGGGGAGGACATCGACGTAAGTTGCCTGCGGCGACGTTGCGATGCTCTCGTCGTCAGCCTGCTGCTGGTAGAGTTGTTGGCGTTGGTGCTAGTGCTGGTGTTCCAGTGAGGGACGCTGTGCTAGCACTGACAGTGCTGGTGTTACTTATCAGTCATGGCATTTGTTAGTAAATTATATGATAATTTGATAATATGATAATCCCCTTGGTGGGGAGGCCTTTGACCACCTCCCAGAGCCACCCAAGCCACATCCAGCAGCTTTGGGTGTTGCCAATGGAGAGGCTGCACACGGCTGTCCCACGGCTGTGACAGGTTTGGGGGGTCAGGACAGGGCTCCCCATAACCACCCCATCGGGGATCTGCTCTTCCCTCCTGCAGTATGAGAAGATCCTGAAGCTGACGTCCGACGCCAAGTTAGGTGAGTGCTGCTCCTTGTGGGTGCTGCCGAGATCGCCGCAGTTCCAGAGGAGCTGGGGTCTCGAGGTGGGGACAGAGCTGTCACCAGTAAGCCCACTGCCATGAAGCGGTGGCGGACTGGCAAACAAGAACTCTCTAAAATCACTGAGAAGCAGCCCGGCCCTTGCCGCCCTGTTTATAAGCCATGCTGTGTAGTCGCTTCTCTTCCCAAACACATCACTCATCACAAAAGATTTCCGAGAAGGGAATTTTGCTCGTCTTCAGTTTTCTCATATTCCCCACTTCCCAGCTCTGCAAGAGGTGCCATCTCCTGAAGGGAGGAGAGGGCAGGGCTCCTTTTTGCCTTGAGCTAAGTCCCCTGCTCCCTACAGAGTCTGGGGACGTGAAAGCCACCATTGCCGTCCTCAGCTTCATCCTGTCCAGCGCAGCCAAGCACAATGTGGACAGCGAGTCCCTGTCCAGTGAGCTGCAGCAGCTGGGGCTGCCTAAAGGTAGGAGGAGAGCCTGGGCTGAGCCATCAGCCTCAGGTGATGATTGTGCTCCCCCATTACCTCCCATTCCAGCCACCTGTCCCAGCTTGTCCTGCAGGTGCTGCCTTGTGTTTCCTCATGGCTGGGTCTTCACTATCCCAGGACTAGAAGTGGCGGTAACTGTTTTTTTCTGCTGTCTTCTCGGGTAGAACATGCCAYGGGGCTATGCCGATCTTACGAGGAGAAGCAGAGTCCCCTCCAAGACAACCTCAGGGCCTGCAGCCTGAGATGTGAGTGCAGCTTCAGCCTTGCCAGTGGGTTTCCAGCAGCAGGGGAAGTGTGGCTCGCCTGTTTGCTAGGAGGACGTGTTTGAGAGCCACTGCCAAAATCGGGGTGTTCACGTGCTGTGTGTCCACTGCAGTGAGCCAGCTGGACTCGGTGTCCTGGAGGGTGGACTACACGCTGAGCTCCAGTGAGCTGCAGGAGGTCAACGAACCCCTCGTGCACCTGATGTTCGCTGTGCGGGACAGGGACCGTGGGATGACGGAGACTGTCCCCATGGCCGTGTCGGCTGACAAGTTCCAAGTCCTGCTGGCAGGTGAGGACGAGGGAGGGCCCCTGGACAGGGGGATTGCTTGGTCTCTTGGGGACCGAGACAAGGCCAAGGACAGCACCATATGGGTTGTGTCCTCCCCTTGGCATGGGTGGCAGCTTCTCCTTTTGATTTACTGTGCTGATTGGCGCCCAGACACCTCCCCTCTCTGTGCAGAGGGTGCGGGTGCAGGAAGGACTCCTACAAAGAGAAATTGCTGCCATCCTTGAGATCTCTAGTGCTGTGGTGCCATTCCCATCCTCTTCCTCTCTCCACTTCTATTCCCAGAGCTGAAGCAGGCCCAGGCTCTGATGAAGACCCTTCTCTGAGGAGCAGGAAGAAGGAGCGATTGCAGGAGCTACCAGCCAGTGGATCTCATGCCAGGACTTGTGCACTGTCTAGGGCACTGCCCAAGTGGAGGCGGGCAAGACGAGTCTGGCTCCCTCCTGCCCGCAGGCTGGTGCTGGAGGCAGCATTCCCTGCCGCTGCTTGCCTGCTTCCTTCCTCAAAGCCGCCCCGCAACCAGCCCCTTGCCCGGGGCTAATGCAGAGCCACCCCCCGCCATGTAGGAACAACTGGCACTAGCTGGGCATAGTGCCATCGGCAGCCAGGCCCTGCGGGTGCTGGGTGCTCCTCTGTGGGCAGCTCTGTCCCCAGYGAGCCTGCAGCTGCCCATGTGCCTTGCATTCTTGGTGGGAGAAGGGACACGTATCCACAACCTGCGGGCTCCGGCAACCTCAGGGTTGCCTCCTGTCGGGGGAGCTCCCGCCTCCTCCGGCAGCAGGGATCCCTCCCCTCCCTCCGTGTCAGGCGCGATCTGCATGTGTGCGGGCCGGTGGCTGTGTAAGAGGACTCCAATAAAACTGCGGGAAGAGCAGGCGCTGTGTCCCGGAGTCCCGTGGCGCAGGAGGCGGCGCGGTGCCGCGGGTGGGGAAGCGGAGGACGCGGCTCCCGTGGCTCCCCGCGGCGGCCGCCCCGCCGCCATGGGCGGAGACGCCGCGGCGCAGCGGGCGCCGCGATGCCGGAGGGCCCGGAGCTGGCGCTGGCCGCGCGCTACGTGAACGCGCGCTGCGGCGGGCTGGTGTTCGCCGGCGCCGTGGAGCGCTCGCCCGTGAGCAAGAGCCCGGCCGTGCCCTTCGCGAGCGCGGCCTRCAGCATCTCGGCGGCCCCGCGCGGCAAGGAGCTGCGGCTCACGCTGGCCCCGCTCGGCGACGACG